TTTTTTTTATTTACGTACTTGCATAGTTATGTACCAGTACTTCCTTACATACTTGGTACATACTTACTTACTTACATACTTACTTACATACTTACTTACGTACTTATGTACTTACATGTTTACTTACGTATTTGCATACTTTCATACGTACTTACTTACTTATGTACTTACTTACTTTGGGGCGGCTGTGGCTGAGTGGTTAGATCAGTTGTCCTCTATTGTAAGAGTTGGGGGTTCGATTACACCATCAGTCACATGTTAGACACTGAACCCCTCATTGCCTCCGATGTGTGTCCCATCGGTGTATGAATGTGATAAAGCTCTGATTAATCTTTGTAGAGATCTAGTAGAGTGCTGTATGAATGGGTAAATGAGGCACAGATTGTGTTGTAAAGAGCTTTGAGTATCTTGATCAGATAGAAAGGTGCTGTATAAGTACAGTCCATTTACCATTTACTTCCGTACTTGCATTCGTACTTACATACTTAATTGCGTACTTACGTAGTTGCTTACTTATGTACTTGTGTCCTTACTTATGTATTTACTTACTTACGTACTTACTTAATTATGTGTTTACTTACACACTTACATACTTACCTACTTTCTTACTTACTTACGTACTTATGTACTTACATACTTACATACTTAAATATTTGCATACTTATGTACTTACTTGCTTTCTTACATGCTTACATATTTACTTACTTACGTACTTGCTTACTTACATACTTATGTATTTACTTACTTACGTCCTTGCTTACTTATGTACTTTCTTATGTACTTATTATTTGCTTGCATACGTACGTACTGACTTACTTACGTACCTACGTATGTACTTACTTACTCACATATAATTTGTTTATCCAAATAGTGACCAACAGCTGAGGCTCAGTGAGATAGTACAAGTTTTGCAAGTTATTGGACAGTACAAATTTTAGTACAAAGTCCAGTTACAAAAGTATTGTACTGTCCAGCTGGTTAGTAAAAAGTTCTTTATCCTTCTATCTTTTCTGCACAACTTGAAACATTAAATATAAATAAATAAATGTAAAGTAATTGTACTTGTATAAAACTTTTTCTGCGGTTCAGCTCTTGGTTACGTCACGTTACGAGCCTGACGAGCCGAAACAAAACGAAACAAATGGTTTTCTAGTATCACGTTACAAAACATCTAAACCTCAAGAAGAGCAGGACAGAAAAATGATGCGGTTTGGACACGTCACTTTTTAACACCATGAGATGACTTGAAACCAGTTATCAACTCAAACATCATGCTTATCATTCTGCAAAGCTCTAAGTTTCTTTGTTTTAACATTTTCTACAAACAGCTGAGGCTTTTAGGCTCGGTATCTGCTGATCCATGTTTAGTCTACAAAGAGAAGACAGATCAGTGAGTTTTGGACACTTTTTTTTAAGCGTCTCCTTTCAGAATCAGCCTTCTTTGATTTTGTGTGATAGCAGCCAACCAGCTTGGCTGTAAGTGAGTGTGTTGTCTTCTTCAGAGAAGGAGACATGGCTGATTTAAAAAAAACATCTTTGTCATCTGAAGTGGAAGGCTTGTAGTTGATGGGTGTGCTGCAGTGGAGAAATAAAACCCATCAGGTTGCTGGAGAGCAGGGTGGAGGTGGGGAGAGGAGCACAGAAGGAATTGATTCATGCCACTTTTCTCCTGACAGAATTTGTTTGTTTATTGCAAAATTTATTAATGTGAACATAAAGCAAGTTCTCTGCTTAGGAGGCAAAAAATGAAGACCAACGCTGCATATTGTCCTTACAAACAGGACTAAGATTAAACCTCTAACGTTACCTAAACAAAGTATCGAATGAATAAATGCATCGGATCCAAGTGCTGTTCAATTTATCTTTGTCACCAAATCCTGAATACATTTGTCTCTTGTTGTCTGACGGTTTTGTTGTCGTCGTTGACACGCTCAGACAGGCGACGCGTTTTAAAACAAAGGCTGATCTATGCTTCGTGAAGATCATCAGTTCAAAATGTGATGTCTGAACTATAAAGCCGAGCTGTACCTGACAGCGCCGTGTGAAGATCAAATCATGTCGCCCAAATCAGACGAAGGACTTTCAAAGGTGGATATAATGTCAGAAAGAAGACGTGCACGTGTGTTTGTGCTGTCAGGTGATCAATAAAGCGTTCTAGGAACTGCTCGGAGATGAAACCCCAAACAACAAAATGCTTTCCGTTCACTTTTTAGAAATACAGTTTTTAGTGTGCGCCGTGTAATAAGATGCTGACTTAATTATGTTTATTTGTTCATCAAGGTCACAACTATGTTTTACTGACCGCTTATTTTATTGATTAATCCGTTCATTTATTAAATTAATCAGATTATTACTCCCAACTTTTTGTCCTTGAAATGCCTGACTCAGATCAGCTGCTGAGCATCAACGATAATCAATTCAATTCATGTTCCGGACTATAAGTCGCTACTTTTTTCACAGGCTGTGAACGCCGCAGCTTATACAATGCTGCGGCTAGTTTATTTATTTATTTATTTTTGACGGGCTAACGAGCTTCATGCAACCAAAACATTTAGCTGCGTCACACCCGGACGCTCACATAGCTGCCCAATACACATCTCTCTTGGGGGTGGGTCCTCGTGACTCAGTGAGACTACCTGTATAAATAAAGGTTAAAAAAAAAATCTGACCAATGAAATTACAGAACAGGTCATGTGACCAAGTGGGGAGGCTCCCTGTTCTTTTCTCCCTTCCCCGTTGTGCCCTTAGGGAGGGAGGAAGCAAGTTTTTTTTTTTTGAAAGCTGTGTGACAGGCACTGTTCAATAAAAACACATTTACTATAACCGGTTGATAGCTTTTGTCAGTTTTTTCTCTTAGCTTAATAAATACATTTTATTTGTGTGACACACACTTTAGGAATAACTTAATTTGGTCTGGGGTAAGGAATTAATTGTAGTGAAAAAGGCTCAAGTCCCAGACCTTACAGTTCAAGTAAAGTTTTAACCGTTTTTATCATTTTAAATTTTACTCAAGTTATAAAGTTAAAGTCTGATGAAAATATAAATAAAATAGATGCTGTGAGTTTGAACCTTTTGTGTAAATCTGAAGTTTTGAGTCTTGGACTTCTGGAAGAAGCAGCAAAAGTTTAGCTTCAGTTGAAATCCTTAAAGTCCACGTCTTTTCAAAGCATCCTGGAGAATTTTCGTGGAGTTTTGTTGAAGGAGATCTGCTGCCTCAGTCTGTTGAACAGATACTGAGTGTCGAATGGATGCACGTTGCATACTGAGAAGAATTTCTATTCAATCATCCAGTTGGTGAAACTGACTCTATAGACTCTTTTGGCAAAATTGGGCTTTTGTAGCAACTTTAAAAATTGAAGCAGGGCTGCATTAATTTCACTTTTTGTCTTTTGTTTAATATTCTTTTACGTTAGCATTTTTATAAGATGCTGGAAAACCGTGTTTTAGGTAAATAATTGTGCTTTTTGTTTGTTTGAATCTAAATGCCAATGCTTGTATAATAATACTGATCCTTAGTTTGAGTAAAATAATTCAAAATGACTGAATTAAAAGGTTGATTTCACAACGAAATGCTCATAATCTGCTTCGCTTGTCATTAGTTGCACCACAGAAGCAACATCTGGGTTTTTCATTGTGGGGAAAAATGTGGTTTAAAATTATTTTTTCTCAAATTAAACCCATAGATTGATGTCACGTTGCAGATTACAGTCATCTTTAGACGGTAAAGGTGCTTGAAGTGGCCGGCCTCCCAGAAGCATTTATGGTTAAAAAAGTGCTGTCTGAGAGCCAGATGCTATCAATTCCCCTTCTTTCTTCAGACACGTCTCTCTTTAATGGCTCATTCAATACCTCTGATGGGTTATACAGATTTATGCTTTGGCTCCTACTGAGCTGCAGTTTGCCAAGAGGATGCCGGGTAATGCTTTAAAATACAGAGACACGTTTCACTCATTACTCTGCAGAATTAAAGACCTTTACGTTTGTTTTTATTTTCTGACAGAACTCCAAATGATGTCCGTCTCGACCAGCTCATTCTTTTAAATCTTGGCCTAAACTGTTTATTTTTTTTATTTTTTTTATTTGTCCAAAAATACATGACTCAGGTTGACATTTTCTTCAATGTGGAAATCTACGGTTTAAGAAAACAAGCAAACAAAACCCCGACAATTTAGAGAGGTTCAATCTGGTTTATTTATTTATTTACAAATTACGTCAATTTGTTTCATAAGTAATTATTAATATGTTTTATCTTTTGTGCTCCATTGACTGTTACCAACAATTTTATGGTAAAAGCAATGACTTTACCTCACATGTATTTGATTTATTTTCATGTGTGTTTCTGTAAAAAAAAATTTAACATTATTTTAACGTCTTTCTTACAGCTCTTTAAAGAATTTACCTACGCCTATTCTATTTTCCGATTGGAGCTTTTGATTTAAAAATGTAACATATTTTTATTTTTAATGGATTTGTCCTCTTCATCGTCTCATCTGTATCTTTAAAGCGCTAAAAGAGATTCTGGCAGGACGTTCAGAAGATGTCTCGACTGAGAATGAATCTACGAACAAAACAAACTCTTCAGGAGTTCAGAAACATTTTGAAGGCTGAAGGGATTAAAGAAGGCTGTCAAATTTGAGAAAAACGTGTGGTGAAATGCAGCTGATTTGACATTTGATCGAGGAGTTCCGGAGCGAGACGAAAGTGGATTTGTATGACAAGCCAAGTGTCTCATTAATAGCCACTTTTGCCTATTAATGAAACACTTGGATTGCCATATTAGTTGAGGGCCCTCTAGTGGCTGAAAATGGTAGTGTTAGATATTTTCTGTCAGAATGAATGAAACCGTCTGATCTCAGCCAAAAACTGGGTTATAAATATGGAACAAAAACAACTTTCCTCTCTGCGATAGCTAAAAGTTGCTCTGAATGTGTGAATTTCCACAACTTTTGAACGCATCTGAACCAAATAAACTTCTTTTGTTCTTCTTCCTCTTCCTGCAGGCTGGATTCACTGTTCTGTTGGGGCCCTTCACCTTCTTCAACGCCCAGAAGACCAAATACCTTCAGATTCTCACCTCACTCATGCGCTGGATTGGTAAGAAGAAACACATCATGAGATAAAGATTTGGTCTTCGACAAGTTTAGTCATAAAAAAAAAAAAGAACATTTAGTTTTTATCCGTAAGTTTTATGTAGTAAAGGAAAAACAAGTTACTCCTCAAAATCTTCTTAAAATGAAATGAATATAATTTCCAGTGGAAATAATACAAGGAAAAATATCAGCAATGACCCTAGAGAAGCAACTGGCAAGGGTCAAAGGTCATTTCCATGTTATGTGAAGTCCATCAACCTGTGGACAGAAAGCTTATTTACAATCGGAAAACATTTAAATCAGCTGCCAATCTTAGCAGGAGTGGCTATCCCAGTAAATCCTTCACAAGGTCCGACCGTGCAGTGCTCAGAGAAATGAACTTTGTCTCAGACTCTACAGGCCTCAGCAGGTCAAAGGTCATGACAGGATAATTAGAAGATAAACAGGCATGACTTGTTTGGAAGCACTTCAAGAGGAACCCTCTCCTCTCTAAAACCAGCATGGCAGCTTTGTAAAGTTTCATTTAAATGAGCCACAAGACTTCTGGAACAAAACAAGGAAGTAGATATGTTTACCCATAATGCACTGCAGCACATTTAGAGGAAACCAAACCCCTCCTCCCAGCTGTCAGCACAGAGGTGGAAGGCTGATAGTCTGGGCGCCTTGCAGTCATTGAGTGGACCATGAGCTCATCCATGGAGTCAAATGTGAGTCCATCAACTGGAGCACGAGTCAAACTGGGTCCAACAGAACCACAATTCCTAACACAGCAGCTGATCTACAGCGAAACGGGTCAGAAAGAAAGAATCAAGACGTTGCAGTGCAGGACCTCATTCTGATTGATGCTGTGGGAGGACCTTAGAGCTGTACAGAAAGCTTTTGATTTTGTTTAAATTTAGGTTTTATTTACCTTATTATAGGAACTGTTAATGCGAGAAGAATTTCTTTTTAGATTTGCACATAGCGTTTATTAAACCCTGCAACAGCAGGAAGTGTTTCTCAGTGTGCATGTGACTTTGTCCACAGTTTTTTTTTTTGTTGTTTTCTGTATTTTGTTTGAGCCTTTCTGCCTTTTTCCCTACAAACATCTATTTCCATTTTATCTGCTTCCACATACCCCCCACTTTCATCCCTCCCTTCTGCCTTTGTGGCGGCTGTGGTCATTTCTCCGTCTATCATGGTTCGGTTCTGCTACGTGTCTTCGACTCCCATCTCCTCTCATTTCTCAGCCTGACAGGCCTGACAGCCCGTCCCAGACTTGATTGGACCGTCACTCACAGGGCGACGGGCGAAAATAAACCGTTCGTCCAGGACTTGCTGCTAAAATCACAACGCCACTGAATCACAGCTCTCTTACCCCCCCACAGCCACATGCCCACTTAAATAAACAAAAACTCAGCAGCATTCATTTACTGCCCGGTACTCTTCCGGTTGCATCGTCCGCCCTGGCTCGCCGTTATTGATCATTGGTGTCACTTTGCAGCGTGCTCTTTACGTCTCGGGCTAATGATTCAAAATGGCTCCGTTGGAAGTTTTGTTTCTTTCACGTTTCTGCAACATCTTAAAGGAAAAGAACGGTCAGAGAGCTACAGCTGCATACAAACGCCAACATTTGGTGGTCATATGACATACTGGTTTATTTCTGTTTCTTGCTTTGTGTTTTAATAAGTTTGTTTCAGAGAATATGTGGTGAATTTAAAAAGAATCACAGAAAAACACATTAGGCTTGTTTAATATAATTGTATGTGTGACGTGCAAGAGTTGCACTAAAGCAAGAAATTCTGTTAAAAACACATAAAAAAATACAAACTCCTTTCTGGTTTTTAATTAAAATAATCTCTCTAATAAGCTCATCTAACTCTCCTTTTTAATTTGGCAGCATTGCTCGTGTGCTTGTTCAGCTGTGTGTTATTTGCTGGAGTGCACAAGTTTTGGTTAAACAAAACTTTATACCGTCTAATCAGTACAGATTCACACTTGGTTTATTTTATCCAGCTCATGATAATTATCAGCATTTTGATTTCTTACGTCTACATTTTAAATGAACTACTTTAGTGAAGAAAATATAACTGCATTCAGAATTTACTAACGGTTCTAAGATGTTAAATGTGTAATGTACAATATTCAATGGGAGGGTCAATGTGGACAAAGTGAAACTGGGTATTGTAGTGGTTAATCATCAGTGTTTAGATGTTATGGATGTGGTTTAAAGAAGCAATGAAGTCATGACCTACTTTGTTAATTAGAGCATTAATCTTGACCAGTGGTCTCGTTCCTCTTTTGTCCCAGGTTGCTCGTGTTGGTTTTTAGAGCAGAGAAGGAGCGAACCGACAGGCCCACTTATAGATTTTGTTGAATTGTTTCTGCTCGCGCTGCTTCTCAAGGGCAAGAAAATGCATTATCCTATTAAGATTTAGCCCCCTTTTAAAATAACAGCAATTATGTGTGCCGCTCTCAGAGGAACTGTAAGACTGAGCAGGAGTGGTCATTAGTGGTATTAAACGTGCGTTGTTGGGAATATTTAACTCGGTATAATGGGATGTTTCATGGCACGCCTCCACTGGCTTGAATGACATTTCTGCTCATTCTTCATGTCCAAACTGCTCCTTCAGGCTGGATGCTGCTGCTTGTGTTCAGCAATCACGATTCAAACCCAAGGTCCTCAGTTGGATTGAGGCCTGGCTTTGACTGGACCCATTCCAGGACCTTTAACTGGTTCTCCCTAGACCAGTGGAGCGTTGCGTCAAGACTCCCAACAGGTTTTCCTCAAGAATTTCTCTATTTTTTCCTCCCATCTGTTTTTCCTTAAATTGTGACCCGTTTACAAGTCCCTGCTCATGAAAAATATTTCTACATCATGACGCTGCTACTGCCATGCTTCGCTATGGGGACGTGTTCTCAGCATGATGAGATATGGTAGCTATGGTGTTGTCCTTGATGGCCAAAAGTTCATTGGTCTTATCTTGCAACAGCACCTGCTTCCACAAGTTCAGGGAAGAAATTCGTCATCATCCAGTGTCTGCAGAAGTTCTTTGAGTCCATGACCCTCTCTCATCAGTTTGCTGTAGTGGAGTCATCTTTCTATTTTCTAATAATGGACTAAATGGAGCTCCAAGGGATGTTCAGGGTTCTTTGATAACCCAACCCAACTTCGTCTCTTACCTGTGTTTCTCAGTCTTCATGAATCTCTTGATACTTGATGATGATGAACTGGCACTGCTTCCCTCTCTGGCCTTTATAATCACCAGTTCTATGATTTCACCTGTAGAAGTCCACAAAGACGGTCTTGTGGGTTGGATTTCAAGTGTCGCACTTGGTTTATGGGTCACTTCTCTCCGTTCTATTTGTTGTTGTTTGTAGCTGCCTGTTACATGCTTGAATTTTGGAGTCAACATAGTCAAATTTTTTTTGCTTTTCTAGTTTTCATTAAGGGAGAAAAAGTTAAACATTTATTAAATAAGAGTAAAGTTGCCTCTTTTTTGTGTACCGTACATTTACTGCTGCAAGTACAAAAAACAAACACTAAATAACATTAATAACAGCACGGAAACTAACTCCTGTATGTCTGAATTTAACAAGCTGTACGTCGAGGTCCCCGTCGCTGAAAGATTTGAAAAGTCGATGTTTGTTTTTATGGACTGAAATTGAATAAAGAATGCGAGTAAATCTTAATGTTTTTGGTGCAAGAGATTCAAGTGGGTAAGTAAGTAAAACTTTATTTATAGTGCACTTCTCAAGATAAAAATCACAAAGTGCTTCGACAAACAAAATAAAAAAAGTGCACAAAACAGTTTAAAGCAAAGGTCGATTTAAAAAGATGAGTTTTTAGCTGGTCTTTAAAAGAAGCCATTGAGTCCACTGATGGTTAGTTTGAGGAAGGGAGTTCCAGAGTCTTGGAGCCACAGAAGAAAAGACTCTGTCTCCTTTAGGTTTCAGTTTTGTCTGGTGGACAATCAGCAGGTCTTGATCATAGGACCTCAAAGCCTTGATCGGGGTGTAGGGATGCAAAAGTTCTGAGATGTAAATTGGTGTCTGTCCATGCAGAGCTCGCCGAGTCAAAACCAAAACCCTGAAATCCACTCGATAATGAACTGGGAGCCAATGGAGTTGCTTTAGAAGTGGAGTTATATGACAAAATTTTGAAGATCCAGTCAATGAGTCAGTGGGTACGTGCCACACTTTTCTGGTCCGTGGCAGCTCAGAGTGACGGATCCTGGTGAGCGAAGGGAGCAATTTTATCCCCCACCAGACACAACGGAGGAGCCAGGGGGTGGCCAATGGTGGCCTTGACCACCATCTTTGAAACTATAATTTCTAGTTTTTATATTGCTTAAAAGTATAGATTTCTAACGTGATTGGAGTGATCGGTTTACTTATGTGGCAAGCTTGGGCGTATGGATGGTATTTAAATTTTATTAAACTTACCGCAACGCCACCTTAGGATTTTCACCCAAGGACATAAATTTATACACAAAAAGGCACTTAGGTTAATTTATGAGGAAGCAAGAGACTGTGTTCCAAGATAAAATGTAACTTTTATTAACACTAATTTAAAAAACAATTTTAATGGAAGCAATAATGATTGACAAAAAAAAAAAAAAGAACATTAACAAAGGCTGAGGCTTTCTGGTGGTCAGTCAACTAAACAGAAAAATGGATTAAGGCAACACAAAACAGGAATTCACCCAAAGTCGGAAGCTTCAGGGACAATCGTACTGCTACACATATATAGCGGCAGCCATCTTGGATTTTAACGTGGCTACTTAATTTTCTAAATGAACCTTTCTTACCACCAAATGGAAGGTGGTACCTCATTTATTGTTCAAGTTATCCCACAACATTCATGGACGGACGGACAGACGGAGGGAAGGTGTTTCCACGTCCTGCTTTTCACTTTGCGACCGGGAACAATAAAGTTCGTTCTTCTCTATAATTAGGAAATAATCACTCATTCTATCTCACCCTCTGATGTGATTGGTTTATAACAAGATAGCACGAAAAGGT